ACATCCTTCTAGTTGCTGTATGTGGGACTCGGCCTCAGGATGGACGGAGAAGTGGTGCCTCGGTGCGCGCCCGGGATCCGAACCCGGGCCACCAGCATCAGAGCGCGCGCACTTAACCACCAAGCCACGGGGCCGGCCCAAGTCAAACTATTTATTTTGTCCTCTCAAAGAGCCTCGTGTGGTGGGCGGGGGGGTGGTGTGCGGCGCAGAGTTAAAAGTTGACAAGGAGAAGAAAAGCTGGATGGGCAAAAAGGTGATAAGAGATTGTCCACCTGCTCTGGTTTGAGCCACTCCTAGACTCAGGCCTGCAGAGCCTAAAGTTAATCCCCTGGGCCCTTGACTTACCTGGTGTATCCAGGAGCATGCCTTCTTTGGTAGACCTCTTTTTTTGGTGATGGGCTCTTAGTTCGGCCTCTCTCTCTCCTGTTTACCTTAGAGTTGTGCCTGTAACAGACACAGAGGCAGAGGAGAAAAGCCTTTTCAATATAGAGGCTTTTATCATGTCCCTCAAACAATGGAAGAAAAGCCAACAGTCTTAAAATTATAGTCCAAATTGAAGAGACAAGAGGGCAGAAGTAGAAGAAAAACAAAGGCATAAAGATACATCAGATTTGATATTAAACTCACTCCAGAGATTCCACAAATATAAAAATGTAGTTCCAGGGGCCTGAGCTTTACACTGAGGCAGAAAAAAAAATGATGTAAGGGAAATAACAAAGACATTTGGAAAAACTAACGAATAGACATCAGGAAAAGCAAATACCTGCTGTGACCAGGCCCCCACATTCACAGGTTATTTCCCAGTGAACTCCCACACTCACGGTTTGCTTTGCTTTGGGGACCGTGATCTTCTGCCAGGGGATCGAGACCTCCTGTCCCATGACCCTGCTTCTCTGGTGCTCTTCTTGCTGGCATGTCTGGGAGGTGAGTGGGAGGAGCTTCTGGATCTGGAGTGATTCTTCAATCTGTGGACTCCCCTTTGTTCGGCCATCAGAGGACCCTGCAGTCCCTTGCTATGGTCAGAGTTCCTGATCTACATCACCAAGGAAAGGAAGAGAAACTATTCACAGAAAAATCTAGCAGCTCAGGAGAAAACGCAGTGAAACAGGAAATGAATGAGCAATCTGTAAGGAGCCAACTGGGTATACCAATCCCATCCGACAGTTATCACAGAGAACCAAACAAACTTAGGAAAGTGATCTTCAGAATCCCCTAAAAGAATGTACCCACCCAACCACCTAAACTGGTTTGGCTCTTTGCTACAGCCTATGGAGGAGCAAGACACAGAGCATGGAGGACAGGACCTAAGGTTAAACACACTGAGGGAAAGAAAGGAATCCAGAGGGATGTACATTTGTTAAAAGTTATCAGCTTGTACACTTAAAATGTGTTTATTTCATGTAAATCATTTGCAGAGGGATGAGCAAAATGTCTAAATGCCCCACTGGTGGCTTAGCCTCTCTGCTCAGAGGGTCTCAGCCATGGTCAGATTCAAGGATAAGGGATGGGCCTGTTTCCCAGCAGCCCTAGTCTTTGCTGTCCAAACTCCCTTCTTCCTACATGATATTTGCCTGCTAAAAATGCTCTATATCCAAAACGGCTGTCAAGGATGGCACATTCCACAGTCCCAACAGTCACTCCCTTTGAGAAGCCCACATTCTTACCTGTAAGCCATATCCACAGACTTTGGACAAAACAGGGGAAGAATTTGCCATCTTCTTTTGAGATCTAAGAGATTAAAACACACACTCACTAAAAAAGAAAATGCATAAAGGTCCAGTTTAAATCCCTTGTGCTGAAACACGCTTCCTGCTTCAAACGTGACCTTTCTCACCTCCCAGCTGTGACTTGGGAGCATGTCTCTCTATTTGGACTGTCTTTGCTGGAAGATCAGCAAAGTCATGTTTTTCCTGTGAAAAACTGTGGGCCTAGCTTTTCAGCCCCAACGCCTGAACACATTCTCCTCTCACCTCGTGCTGCTGTTCCAGGGACTAACGTGAGTCAGCAGTGACAATGTTGACTGCTCCCACAGAGAAGACACACAGAATGGGCCCATTATAGAAAAAAAATCCTACATAAAACCCACTTCAGTCTTGGGGGAATCACACGCTGAGATGAAAGTCATATCCAGGATGTCTGACCCAAGACCTATAAGGTTACGGTCAGCTCTGTTAGGGGGCCATGCCAAGATCTCTAAGGAGCTCTAGTGCTGAATGGCAAGCTCTGTGGGCATAGGGCCCGGGTCTGAGTGTTCACCACTGAAACCCCAGGACCTGGCAGTTCCCGGCACAAAGCAGGTGTTCAGTTAATATCTGTGGAACAAACGAGTGACATGAATCAATGAGGGAGGCTCGCCTCCCCACACTCACCTTTCCCGGCTGCGCTCATCCTCACTGCTGCAACGGTCGCTACTTGAGCTTCTGTGCTTATGTTTCTTGTGCTTCTTTTTCTTCTCCTTCTTTTTCTTCTTCTCTTTTTTTTCCAGACTCATTTGCAACTAGAAAATGCCCAGAACATAACCACACAGGATTATTGAGACCCCTGTCAGTCCCTCTGAGGGACCTAGGTCATGCACAAACTACCTGACTCCGTGCCTCTGGGTCTACGGGGGTCTAGGACATTATCAGAGGTTCCTTGTCAGCAAGAGGGGGAAGGTCTTAGCCCTGGCTGTGCACAAACGCCCCCTAGACGACTGAACAGAATCTCTGGTGGGAGGGGCTAGGAACGTGTGGGGGTTTTTAAATTTTTTTTTATTTAGTGTGTGTGTGTGTGTGTGTGTGTGTGTGTGTGTGTGTGAGGAAGATCAGCCCTGAGCTAACATCCGTGCCCATCTTCCTCCACTTTATATGGGATGCCGTCGCAGCATGGCCTGACAAGCGGCATGTTGGTGTATGCCCAGGATCCGAACCCGGGCCACCACCAGCGGAGCGCACACGCTTCATCACTACACCACGGGGCCGGCCCCAGGAATTTGTGTTTTTAAACAGTCCCCAGAACCGCTGCCTAGGAATCGCCATTCTGTCAAAAGAACTCCAACTCCACTGAAAGCAATCAGGGACTGCAAAATCAATCTTTAAATCTTTCTTCCCAACTGATCCAAGAAACTATCACATAATATGTCATGTGAATGATGAATGGGCCTGAGAGGCTGGATTCCACCTGATCTCCTGAACACACTGTATGATCATGTTTTCCACAGGCATATCCCATTCTCCTCTTTTCCTGGAAAAATGACATCATACGGCGCTTTTCCAACCAAAAGACATAAAAGAGGAAATCAAGCTTAATTAAGCTTGATAAACTAAGATTGCACAAGATCACCAAGAGAAGTCTTTAAAAGACAACAATTTTAAAGGCCGTTTTCTTTTGTGTGTGTTTGTGTGAGGAAGATCCGCCCTGAGCTAACATTCCTTGCCAATCCTCCTCTTTTTGCTGAGGAAGATTAGCCCTGAGCTAACATCCGTGCCCATCTTCCTCTATTTTGTATATGGGACGCTGCCACAGCATGGCTCGATGAGCTGTGTGTAGGTCTGCGCCCGGGATTCGAACCTGCGAACCCTGGGCCACCAAAGCAGAGGGCGCAAACTTAACCACTACGCCACCAGGCCAGCCCCTAAAGGCTATTCTGTTTTCCCTCTCGGAAGGGAAGAGTACGTGGAGAGAAGTTCTCATGTTAAGTAGCTAAAAGCACTACTTACCAATTCTTTGATCTTCTTCATTTTCACAGGATTATTCAATACCTCTCTTTTTTTCTCCTCCTCCTTCTTCCTAAACAAAGAGAGGAAATTATAAAAATCATAACTGTTTCTTTTGGAAAGGGGATTCAGTCATTCATTCTACTCTCCACAATTCTACGTAGCAATCTTTTTTCCAAATGCATGCACACAGGCCCTATGTCAAAATCTACATGATGATGTGGAAGCCAGAAATCTTCCCCAAATCTGTAAAAGGGATTGAATATTGTGGGAAAGCCCACACTGGTTCCCTGTGGTGCAAGAAAGTGAGTTTGGTCTGTTTCTTATTAGGCTTCATGCTCATGGCTTCTCAACTGGTCAAGAAAAGGGGTGTCATCCTGTGTATCAATTGGTTGCTGTGTTATCAACTGATTGCAACATTTCAATACTACTTCCACTGTTTAGCATGATAACTGACTGGGAAACAAAGAGAATGGATGCCTCTTCAAGAAGTCTTACTCTTACATACATTTTGTTCATAGGAGGGTAAATTGGTCAACCTTCTTGGGGGACAATTTGGCAACAGCCTGCACACACTCTGATCTCACAAATCCATCCTCAAGAATTTGTTACTATACGGAAATAATCACGGAAGGTCACTATAAAGTCGTTCATATTATAACAATAAAAATTTGGATACAAGTTAGGGACCCAACAAGAGAGTATTAATAAAATAAATTATGGTATATCCAGACAATATAGAATAAAAAATAATGTTACAGAAGCATAGTTATCAACACAGAAAGATGTTCAATATATAGGATTAGGAGGAAAAAAAGAGGTTTATAAAATAATATGCACAATATTTGTACACCAATGTTCACAGCAGCATTATTCACAATAGCCAAAAGGTGGAAATAACCTAATGTCCATTGACAGATGAATGGATAAACAAAATGTATACAATGGAATATTATTTAGCCTTAAAAAGGAAGGAAATTCTGATACATGCTACAACGTGGATGAACCTTGAAAGACATCATACTAAGTGAAATTAACCAGTCTTAAAAAGACAAATATTGTATGATTTCACTTATATGAGGTTCCTAGAGTAGTTAAACTCATAGAAATGGAAAGGAGAACAGTGGTTCCCAGGGGCTAAGGGGAAGGGGAAATGGAGAATTATTGTTTCATGGGTATAGAGTTTTAGTTTTGCAAGATGAAAAACTTCTAAAGATTGGTTTCACAACAATGTGGATACACTTAACACTACTGAAATGTACACTTAAAATGGTTAGGATGGAATCTCTTCAGGGTGGTGTGGACTTAATGGCGGGTGTTTCCCACGGTGGAGAAAGAGGCAAGAGACACAGAGACCCAGACACAGAGGGAAGAAGGCCATGTGAAGATGGGGCAGAGATTGGAGAGATGCTGCCACAAGCCGAGTAACACCTGGGGCCACAGGAAGTTGGAAGAGGCGAGGAAGGATCCTCTGCTAGAGGCTTTGGAGGGAGCGTGGCCCCGCCAACACCTTGATTTCAGACTTCCAGCCTCCAGAACTGTGAAAGAAAAAATTTCTGTTGCTTTAAGCCAAAAAAAAATGGTTAGGATGGTAAATTTTATGCTATATATATTCCACCACAATTTTTTTTTTAATAATTTCTCTTTTTTTTTTTTTTTTTTTTTTGTGAGGACATTAGCCCTGCGCTAACATCTGCGAATCCTCTTCTTTTTTTGCCAAGGAAGACTAGCCCTGGGCTAACATCCGTGCCCATCTTCCTCTACTTTATATGGGACGCCACCACAGCATGGCTTTCCAAGTGGTGCGTCGGTGCGCGCCCGGGATCCGAACCGGCGAACCCCGGGCTGCCACAGCGGAGCGCCCGCACTTAACCGCTTGTGCCACCAGGCCAGCCCCTCCACCACAATTTTTTTAAAAAGAAGAAAATTCTGACACATGCTACAACAGAGATGAAACTTGAAGACATTATGTTGAGTCAAATAAGCCAGTCACAAAAGGGCAATTACCATACGATACCATTTCCATGAGGTAACTAGAGTAGTTAAATTCATAGAGACAGAAAGTAGAATGATGGTTGGCAAGGCCTGGGGGGAGGAGGGAATGGGGAGTTATTGTTTAATGAGGCCTGAAAAAGTTCTGGAGATGGATGGCATTGATGGTTGCAAAACAATGTGAATGTACTTAATGCCGCTGAATTATACACTTAAAAATGGTTAAGATGGTAAATTTTATGTTATATATACCTTACCACAATTAATTAAGAAGGTAACAAAATGGGAGAAAATATTTGTATATACATATACAATATCTTTACATATACATATGCAATATCTTTAATAGATAACTTTAAAAGTATTTTCAAAAGAAGAAATATAAATAACAAACATTTTTCAATGTGCAACCTTACACACTCGAAATAAAATAATGCAAATTAAACCAAAAAAAAATATGCACAACATGATCTCCTTTAGCACCCAAAATGTAGCTCTACTTTGATCTGTTACATATTAGGGTTTCAGTAAGGCAAAAAGTTTCTTTTTAAAGGGTTCTGGAGCAATAAAAGGGGTGGGGGGAGAAGGCCTGTTCACCCACCTAGCCAACTCTACATATATCCCCAAATTTCCAAGAAGCTGCCAGCCTTTCTCACTTTGCTTTTACCTCCTATTTTTGTTTAAGGGCCAAAGGTAAATGAATGAATCTGGTCTGGTCTGGTCCGTTTGCCTATCTCTTCCCATATGGCCTATATAAGGCACCCTTAATGGAGCCTCCTTCCTAACATCAGGAAGCCCAAATGGAGACAAATCCTTTTACATGGCAGACAAAAGCCACGAGGAAACCAACTGTGAAGCGAGAGGCTATATGACATCTCTGCTAAGCATCTTTGCAACAAAACTCCCTTCCCAGCCCTGCATCAGTACCTGATGATGAAGAGTGGGTCCTCCCGGATTTTGCTGGCCATGTCAAGAAGGGAATTGGCACCCGACGGGGCAAAGATAGAGCCTGGGAGGAGTCCTGTCTCAGAAGAACAGCCTGCCTCCTTCTCCTCCATCTTCTCAAAAACGTATTTGTCAATGGGGCGCCCCAGCAAGTACTCATCACGGTTCACCATCCCACCAGGACCCTGGTACATCCAGTCCAATTTTTCTTCTTTTTTCCTAGTTCAAAAAAAAAAGAAATACAATCAAAGAAAATGTAGACTCCTGCAAACCTACACACAAAACCTGAACACGAGGGATAGATAACCACAGTTGGTCAGAGGAGAACTCATTCTACAGGCACCCAGCATGGGCTAAACACGGCACTCCACGTGGCACGTGGGAAAAAACGATGCTTGCCAGCGTGGAGCTCACCATTTAGTGGAGAGATCATTTCCACACACCTAAAGCAATTTATGAGGAGAAACAGCGTTCCTCATAAATTGGGGCATGGATCTTTGCTCAGGGCTTCTCGAGTCTCCTTCACAAAGTCTTTATATTACGCTTTCATTTCGAGGATAATCTAAAACAGTAAGCATATTCTGGATCATCTCATTACCAAGAACAATTTCAGTGACCACATATGCAGTTGTGTTAATTGTGTTTTGGTGCTTATGGTCACACGGGCACAAACAGTAATACTACATTTGAGGGGATAATGAGAAAAAACCAGAGATAATCTAATAAGTAAATTATGCTTTCAAGCCAAAAGAGGAGGGACAAATTATGTCACAGTATCTTGCCAAACAAATATTGCCCTGTGGTTCTGAGAGAAAAACATGGTGAGAAAATTGAACCACCACAAAACAGACAGTAAAGGCATGCTGAATTTATAAGAGCATATGTTCAAGCAGCCAATACCACATTCACACCACAAGCAGCAAAGTAGCTTCATCAAAACAGTATTATCTATAATATTAAATTCAGTGTTTCTGAATATGACTTTTTTTGTCTAATTTGCATTGCATATTTATTTTTGTTTGCCCCAGACATTTTTAATAAGAATAACTCAAACCAATAATGCAAGGTCACAACTCTTTGGATTTTTTTTTTTTTTCCTATTAAAAGGATCAGTTTGAGGGGCCGGCCCAGTAGCGTAGCAGTTAAGTTCAAGTTCATGCACTCCTCTTCGGCGGTCCGGGGTTCACAGGTTAGGATCCAAGGCATGGACCAACCCACCGCTTGTCAAGCCATGCTGTGGCAGCGTCCCATATAAAGTAGAAGAAGATGGGCATGGATGTTAGCCCAGGGCCAATCTTCCTCAGCAAAAAGAGGAGGATTGGCAACGGATATTAGCTCAGGGCTAATCTTCCTCACCAAAAAAAAAAAAAAAAATCAGTTAGAGAAACATTATTGTCTATAATTAAGAACTGATTTGGGCCACTGGGGTCAAGCTCCACCTAGCTTGCCTGGCTTCACTCACGCCACTGGAGTCAAGATGGAGAAGTATAAGCGAGAGCCATGCCCTGGCGAACTATGGAAGACCGTGGTAGGCCTTTACGATGGGTACCATAAGTGGTGGTGTCTTTCAAGCAGTTAAAGGTTTTTGCCATTCTCCAATAGGAGTAAACCAGAGACTACAAGAAAGTCTGACAGTGATTAAAACCAGGTCTCCACAGCTGGGAGGTAGCTTTGCAGTTTGGGGAGGTCTGTTTTCCATGACTGACTGCAGTACGGTTCAAGTTAGAGAGAAAGGAACTCCATCAGAACTGCTGCCTTAACAGGAACCACACTGGCAGCAAGAAATGGACCAGTGGTTATGGCTGTCGGGTCATCTGTGATGGGTGACATTCTCCTAGGTTTAATTGGAGGAGCTGGTATCTTGTCAACAAGATTTGCCTTTGTGCAGTTTCCCAATGGTCCTTAGTTTGCTGAAGACCTCTCCCAGTTGCCTTCAACCCAGTTACACACCCTCACCTTTTAGAGACTAGGGACAATACCAACAGGACTTCTTTTCCAAGATTTCTTTAACAGAATGAGCTGTAGTTCAGGAAGGATTTTGGAAGACCAAGATACAGTCTGTTTTTAAATCATAGGACAACTATGGCCAAATAGGCTATATTTATACAAATGAAGAGATTTTTAGCACTTTTTTCTATTCAAAGGAACATGGGGGAGGAAGGGGGAGGTGTGAAAAGATAATACATTTATTTATTCAGACTTGGATTGTATTTCTGATCAAAATAAACATCTAACAGCATTAAAAGAAAATAAGTGCTTAGAAGATGAAGGATCAAAGGGCAAATAACTGACACATGACCATCATTTCCTTGGGAACTTCTCAGCCTGGTTTTATGTATTCTGTTATTCAAACAAAAAACTCCCGGAGGCGGAAAAAAGAAGTGATTGTGAAAGGCAGACTACATCAGATCTTAAGGAGGCCTGGGCAAGAAAATCAGTGAGACTAGAATATCCTGAGCTCATTTTCCTGAAAGGCAGTATAACATAATGGTAAAGAGTACTAGCTCTGGAGTCGGGCAACATGGATGTGAATCTTGGCTCTAAACCCTAAGCAACTTCTCTGAGCCTTGGTGTCCTCGTCAGTAAAATGGGGATAAACAGCACTGACCTCACAGAGTTGTTGGGGATTAAATAAGTCAATGGATTTCTAAGGCATTCAGAAGAGTACATGGCACAAAGTAAGTACTAAATAATTATCTATGTATGTGTCTGTCTCTCCCATCCAGGTTTTCTTAAACTCCTGGACAACAGGGACCACAGTTTACTCACCTGTCAATCTTAGACAGTAGCCTAATGATCACGTGTTCAATGTTTGACATTTTATGGGCAATGGATCATGAGCTAGGCAGTACTTTTTGGAAGAAAAGCAAGTCTTAGTGATTGGGTAGGGGGGATTTTAAAAGGACATGTCAAAGATAACTGGAGGGATCATGCCTATGCATGCATGCCTGACACTAACAGGGATAGGGAAGTTGGGAATAAATATCCATGTATTCACTTGTAAACATTTACTCAGCATACTTCCTATGTGCCAGACAGTTGAGTAAAGCCAGAAGGACAAAAAAGATGCAGGCAGCTGAGTTGCTCACAGGCTACTGGTTGAGGCACATAGGTCAACAAATTACCAAACGGTGCTGATGAGAGCTAAGCAGGTGTTGAGGGGACTCTGCGCCACTCAAGTAGAACCGCCTGGCAGGCAGCTGAACATACAGAGATACAAGAGTTTGTGTGGGATAAATTTGGGAGTCATCAGCATGAAGCAGACAACTGGTGCTAGAGGAATGAAGGAGCTCTTAGGGAAAGAAGGGAGAAAAGCAGTGAGTCTTGGGCAGCATGAGCAGTTAGGAGATGAGAGAAAAGAAGCTAAGTAAGCGAAGGAAAGAGAAGAGATAAGAAGAGGTAGGAGGACCAGGAACCTGTAGGCAAAGAACCAAATGTTCCTAGGGAGGGGCAATTGGGTCAAATACAGAAGAAAGGATATGAAAAACAAAGACAGGTACTTCTAAAAGTAGTATTTTCATGGCTCTATCTAGTCTTAAAAGGGCTCAACTAACATCAGTCCTACTCAGGCCTTCTAGTAAGAGAACATGTGGTATAGCTGAGACCCAGAGTCACAGGACTTGGCCTGGTTCCACCACTAACCAGCTGGGTAACTGTGTAAGTTACTTGTGTGCACTTCCATATCCTCATGTCTAAAATGCAGCTAGAGGGGCCAGCCCAGCGGCATAGTGGTTAAGTTTGCATGCTCTACTTCAGCGGCCCAGGGTTCATGGGTTTGGATGAACGGCACGGACCTAGCTGCACCACTCATCAAGCCACGCTGCGGCAGTGTCCCACATACAAAACAGAGGAAGACTGGCATAGATGTTAGCTCAGGGCCAATCTTCTTCACCAAAAAAAATAAATAAATATGGGGCCGGCCCAGTGGCATAGTGGTTAAGTTCGTGCGCTCCACTTCAGCGGCCTGGGGTTCACAGGTTCGGATCCCAGGCACAGACCTACGCACCACTTATCAAACCATGCTGTGACAGACATCCCACAAAAAGTAGAGGAAGATGGGCATGGATGTTAGCCCAGGGCCAACCTTCCTCAGCAAAAAGAGGAGGATTGGCAGTGGATGTTAGTTCAGGGCTAATCTTTTTTTTTTGTGAGGAGATCAGCCCTAGTGCTAACATCTGCCAATCCTCCTCTTTTATGCTGAGGAAGACGGGCACCGGGCTAACATCCGTGCCCATCTTCCTCCGCTTTATATAGGATGCCGCCACAGCATGGCTTGCCAAGCAGTACATCGGTGCACGCCCGGGATCCGAACTAGCGAACCCCGGGCCGCCGCAGCAGAGCGCACGCACTTAACCACTTGCGCCACCGGGCAGCCCCAGGGCTAATCTTCCTCACAAAAAAAAAAAAAAAAAAAAAGGAGGATTGGCAATAGATGTTAGCTCAGGGCCAATCTTCCTCACAAAAAAAAATTTAATTAATTAACTAATTAAATAAATAAAATAAAATGGTGCTAGGAACCACCATCTCTCATTGTTACTCTGAATTTTAAAATGAGAAAATACTTGGGGTTGGGCCGGCCCCGTGGCTTAGCGGTTAAGTGCTCGCGCTCCACTACTGGTGGCCCGGGTTCGGATCCTGGGCGCGCACCGACGCACCGCTTCTCCGGCCATGCTGAGGCTGTGTCCCACATACAGCAACTAGAAGGATATGCAACTATGACATACAACTATCTACTGGGGCTTTGGGGGAAAAAAAAAAAGGAGAAGGATTGGCAATAGATGTTAGCTCAGAGCCGGTCTTCCTCAGCAAAAAGAGGAGCATTAGCACGGATGTTAGCTCAGGGCTGATCTCCCTCACAAAAAAAAAAAAAAAAAAGAAAGAAAATATTTGGGGTAAAAGCCATAAAACCCCTTTATTTTTAAATATTCCAAATTTCATACTTAAGTCAGAATGGCCTTCTTTCTAATCCATTACACGCAATCCTGACTGGCACAAATCCTTCCGTCATGAAATTATTAAGGAAAAGCCCTATATATCCAATGGGGGAAGTGTGCCACATGCCACCAAGAGTTGCCCACAAGGACACAAACAAGGGGAATGATAGTACAGATTACTCAGTTTTAGTCTATGTGCGGTTTGTATTCAATTCTGACTTAGTAATGGGCTGTATATTTTATGCTTTTTATTTTTCTCAGCACACGTTTACTCCCACCTCTTTTTATCAGATGCGAAGGGTAATTATCATTTGCTACTCTTATCCTAATTATACAAGGGGAAACTGAAGTAGGGTAAAACCGAGTGGGACTGTCCACAGTCACCAGCTGTTACTGACAGACACACCATCCACCTCCTTCCATGGAACCTCACTGTCCCCCCAAAATGAGCCTGCAACACATAAACAAACAAAAGCAGGACTGAGGGCTGGGCACATACTGAGAGGCAGGGTAGAGGCAACCATCCTCGGTCATGGTTATCTATCAATCACCTACCATGAGCTTGGCCTACACTAAGCCCTTTCCATGTTATCTCATTTGATCCTCAACAAACCTTAGGAATTGGGTACTCTCACTCCCCTGGTTCTACTGAGGTAACCAAGGCTCCCAAACTTGCTCCCAGTTACACAGCTAGGCAAGTACGTGCAAAGCCAGCCTTAAAACCCAGGTCAGTCTGGGGCCGGCCCGGTGGTGCAAGCGGTTAAGTGCGCGCGCTCTGCTGAGGCGGCCCAGGGTTCGCCAGTTAGGATCCTGGGCACGCACCGATGCACCGCTCGTCAAGACATGCTGTGGGGGCGTCCCATATAAAGTAGAAGAAGATGGGCATGGATGTTAGCCCAGAGCCAGTCTTCCTCAGCAAAAAAGAGGAGGATTGGCATCGGATGTTAGCTCAGGGCTGGTCTTCTTCACACACACACAAAAAATAAAATAAAAAGTAAACTCCCTAAAATTAAAAAAAAAAAAACAAACCCAGGTCAGTCTGATTCCAAACCCATGCTCTTAATCACTATGATGCAACAACTGGACGATGCCCTTGCAGGCCAGACCTGCAATTCCCTACACACCAGCACCCCCAGCCCAATCGCCCCACTGCACCCTCTGCTCCTCGCTTACTTGACAGCCCCCACATCCTCCGCATAGCGCTGCATCTCCTCCCGGGCCCTCTCCTCCCGCAGCTCCCGCTGAAGCTCCTCAATCTTCTTCCGCTCAGCCTCATGCTTCTGCTCAGCCTTCCACACTTTCTCCACATTGCGGAGGGTCTGCGGGTGCCAGCTCTTCTTCAGATTCTGTGGTAAATGAAAGGAGGGAGAAAACAGGGAGTGGGTGGGTGGTGAGTATAACTAGCTCAGCCTCATCCACCCCTCTATACCCTATTTATGCCAAGACAGGCATATAAGGGCAAGATGTCTTTAACAATGGCAAGGTTGGCACCCAATAATCTCACACACCAGGGGAGTTTTTGTTCAAGTACATAAAGCTTCAGGATACAACAGGCCCTTCCTGGATTCCCTTTAAATACTTGTAACCTGGGCCGGCCCTGTGGCTTGGTGGTTAAGTGCGCGCGCTGCAATGCTGGTGGCCCGGGTTCGGATCCCGGGTGCGCATCGAGGCACCACTTCTCCATTCATCCTGGGGCCGGGTCCCACATACAGCAACTAGAAGGATGTGCAGTTATGACATACAACTATCTACTGGGGCTTTGGGGGGAAAAAATAAAATAAATAAAATCTAAAAAAAAAAAAAAAAAAAAAAAAATACTTGTAACCTGAAATGCATATGAGTCTGACTTCCATTGGCCATGCCTGAAGTGAGGGTTGGTGATGACAATATAGGAGGAATGAGGCAGGGAGGTGGGAAGGTATAGACTCTGAAAGGCAACAGACCAGTGACTTTGGCACTGGACATTCATTCTTATTAACACAACCTTCTTTTCCTTGAGTCCACTTAACTTGCCTTAAACTTGCATGGTTTCACCTAGTAGTACCTCTTTCAACCTTCCTTCCCAGGAATCTCCCCTTGCTTCTGATCTCCCCTTCACCCCCAAGGAATGCTCCTCTCCCCCTCCTCCCCATGAACCACTGCTTTGGGTTCAGCTTCCCAATTAGGGAAGGTTTCCTGTAGAAAGTGACATCTAAGGACAATTATAAATTAGCCCACTGATGTAGGAACGGGGGAGGAGGGGGGAAAATTTCCAAACAGCACACACAACTGCAGGCCCAAGGGTGAGAAAGAACACAGCACAAATAATTCAGTGTGGCTGGAGATGGACTGCAAGCTGATGGGAAAGGCCTCAAGATGAAGCAAACTAAGAAAGGAACAGATTAAGGGCCTTATAAACCATGTAAAAGAGTTAGACTTTATTCTGCTGACAGTAGGAAACATGAAACAGTCATATACAGGTGAGAGGCATGACTAGCTATCATGTGAAGAAGAGATTGGAGAGGACCAAGACTGGAGACCAGGAGACCAGTCAAGAAGTCTAAATGAGAAAATGTACACAAGGTACCTGGTATGTGGAAGGTGTTCAATCAATGAGGTCTCCCTCTGCTACCTTCTCTCTCTCTTCTTGTCCTTCCTTTCTCCTCATCAGGTCATTCAGTCCTTCCTTCCTTCCTTCTCCCTGCCCCAAACTTGTCCTACTGGTCCTCCTCTCCCTCCTTTAACATGGGTGATTTTGCCCCTCAAGGGAACATTTGGCAATGTCTGAAGACATTTTTGGTTGTCACAACTAGAGGAGAAGGGTGGTACTGGAATCTAGTGGCTAGAGGTCAGGGATGCTGCTAAACATCCTACAATGCACACAACCCCTCCCCCCACACCCCCCCCCAAAGAATTATCCAGCCCAAAATGTCAATAGCGCTAAGGTTGAGAAACCCTTAATTAGAGCTTCCCTGTCCCTAACTGCAGTTCCCTGAAGAGTACACTGACTTAGACAAACCTTGATGGAGTCTTGGAACTCCTCCTAATTGCTAACACCTGACAAACTGTAATACAGCTACTGGACAGATGGCTAAACTAATCTATTTACTAATTCATTTAGCTACACTTTGAAGAGATTAGCATTTTTCTGACCTTGCACCATGCTCTTGTGGGTACATTTGCCCTATTTTGGGCCTTACAAATGAACTACACAGTTTAAGAGAAATTGCCACATAACATAAGCGCTATGAATTCAGAAGAAAGCTCTGTCACTACAGATTAAAACGCAGCATTGGGGCCGGGGCCGTGGCTTAGCGGTTAAGTGCGCGCGCTCCGCTACTGGCGGCCCGGGGTTCAGATCCCGGGCGCGCACCGACACACTGCTTCTCCGGCCATGCTCAGGCCGCATCCCACATACAGCAACTAGAAGGATGTGCAAGTATGACATACAACTATCTACTGGGGATTTAGGGAAAATAAATAAATAAATAAATAAATAAAATTATAAAACGCAGCATTGAAGGAGAAGCGGAAGTCAGAAAGGTGGATATGAAGAAGATCCCTTCAGGCTTAAAACAGACTCCAAGACATACTCAGGGAAGATGAGACTGGGGCACTAACCACCCCTACTACAGCCCAGGACATGACTGTGAACTCCTAGCTGAGGAAGGGTGATGTATCCCAAGGCAAGATATAGAAAATAAAGCGTGTGTAACACGTCCTGGAAATCTGCCTCCCTTCCTAGCCATAGTTCCAACCGCCCCACTCCCGGGCCTTCCCAGAATTTCCAGCCGAGAGCGCCCTCGCCAACAAACATACAACCACTGGCGACACATCTCGCACACCTTCTCAAGTCTCCACCCGGTCCCTCCGTGGCCTTAGTGACCCGTCTCCTCTCCGGAGCTATGGTTCCCTCCCCCCACAGCAAGGCTGCGTTGCCATAGTGACCCACTCACACCCCCTCCAAATTCCGTGCCCAGCCCCAGCCGGTCTCCAGCCTCAGTCCTCCCCCGCTCAAGCCCCCCTCACTTACCAGATCTCCGCCCCCCATGATCGTGGAGACGTTTCCTCACTACACGGATCTGGAGGACTTAGGAAGAATCGAGAGGAAACGCAGAGAAACTGTTCGGGGGCGACCCCCCCAGATCTGGTCTGGAGAGCCACCGGCTGCCAATTTCACTGTCCGATCTAGGGCCCACTTCCGGGAGGGCGTCGGCGTCGCGGGATGATGACGTTTAGTACACGTTGTGGCGCTGCGTGGCGGTCGCGTCACGTGCAGTTTCGCAGTTTGAGGCCCTGATATCGCGGCATCTGTGGTCTCATTTTGGACCCCTCGGGTTGGGACCTCATTGTATTTCTGGAACGGTGTGTGAAAATGCCGCAGCTTTGTCCAGTTACAGTCGGCCCTGGGCCTCGCCCCACGGTTCTGTTTCCATGGCAGCGCACCACGGCGTCCTCACCCCCCCACACACACACCCTGCCGAGGCGCCAGCGTGGACCAGCCTAGGCCTCCTCCGCCCCGCGCACACCCCACACCCGGGTTTTCCAAACCCTTGTGAAACCCGCATTATCCTCAAACCTCGATGCAGGGCCATCCTCCTTACTCCAGGCCTATTTTACGAAGATAAGTAGAAACCGAAATTCCATCGGCTTCCCTGCACCAAACCTTTAGAACCTGCCAGCTTCCCCAATTCCTTTACCCTCGTTTGCGATGGAAGAGGCGTCCCTCGTATCTAAGGCCCCGTGGTTTGTCTGCTCTGGATCCCACCCCTCACATCTGGTATTTCTCAATTCCTTCCTCTCTCCTCTATGTCCCTGAATATTAGCTCTTTGTCATCAGCATTTTTAGACACGCTCAATTGATTTTTTTTTTTCTTTGAGGAAGGTTGGCCCTGTGCTAACATCTGTTGCCAATCTTCCTCTTTTTTTCTTTTTTCTCCCCAAAGCCCCAGTACATAGTTGTATATCATAGTTGTAGAATTGTGGCTCTTCTATGTGTCGGACATCGCCTCAGCATGGCTTGATGAGCAGTGAGTAGGTCAGCGCCCAGGATCCAAACCGGCCAACCCCCTGGGGTGCTGAAGCAGAACAGCTAACTTAACCACTACACCCCATGCTGGGCCCTCAATTGATTCTTTAAATTAAAAAAAAAAAACAGAAAATCCCATGTCTTTCCCCCAGCTGCTGCACTGTCCTCTCCATCTTAACCAAACTTGAAAGGAGTTGTCTCCACTCAGAAGACAAGATGCCTCCAACTTCATCTTCTGCTTAACCTCAACACTCCACTCAACTATTCTCCCCATGATCTTAAGTAATCCCCCTGTATTTAAATCAAATGACACACTTCATCCTCATCTTAACTGTCACTAGCCTTCAGTATTGAGGACCACTCCCTCCTTATTGAAACACTTTTCCCTGACTTCTCCCCGCCACTCTCCAGGTTTTCCTTTTCTTCTCTTGACCCGTCTCAGGGAACAGTTTTTTCTTCTTCATCGTGTCTCTTAGGTTCTCGCTTAGGTCTTCTTACACTCTGTGCTCTCCCTGTGTGATTTCATCTGCTCACAGAGCTTCAGTTACCATCTATATGCTGATGAATCCCAAATTCATCATCTCCAGTTATATCTCTCTTTCAAGCTCCAGGGTTTTAAGCCTGGCTGTTAGGCATTTCCAGGTGGGCATTGGGAAGGCACTCAACCTGAAATTGTCTCACTTATCTCCACCCCCCTCCAGCTCTTTTCTCCCCTATCACCCTCACTTCTCCATCTAGACATCATTCTAGACCTCTCCCTCACCATCCAGTCAGTAAGATTCTAACTGCTAACCACCTCTCAAATCTATCCACCTCTCCGTCACTATTTCCACCAGCCTGGTTAGGCCACCGTAATTTCTCACCTGGTAAAATCTCATTTCCCTGCCTTCAGTTTTATCCCTTACAGGGGCCAGCCCAGTGCCGTAGTGGTTAAGTTCTCAGGCTCTACATCAGCTGCCCAGGGTTGGCAGGCTGGATCCCGGGCATGGACCTACGCAATGCTTATCAAGCCATGCTGTGGCAG